TACATATATATATAAATTAGCCTTTGTTTGAGCTCCATTTTTTAAAATATTCATTTTTTCGAAACTAATTTCAACTATATTCTCCAACAAAATAATTTTACACTTAAATCAAAAAATTTTCCTTATTTTTTTATTACACATTTTTTTTTTAAAAAAAAATACTATTTCAAAAAAATATTTTTACCCCAAAATGGGTTTAACAAGAGTCTGTTCTATTTACCATTTTCAAACCGTTTTCTGTTTTCGATTTTCCAAAACAGTGAAAACGCCTTTCCTATTTTCGAAAATACATTTTTGAAAACAAGTTAAAAATTTATAAAAAAAACTCAAAACGACAAATAATCAAGTCAAAATTTTCAAAACACGATTTGAGTGTTTTCAAAACCATTTTTTAAAATGTCAAAAAGAACACATTTTTAACAATCTTAAAATGAACACTCAAAATACTCAAAATACTATACTAAAACACAAAGAAAACAACCCCTAAATTTTTCACACAAATTTTTTTATTAAAAAATAGAGTTTCACTTACCCAATTAATTAACAATTCTATTTCTGTTACGAGATAAATTATCCTAATCAGATTTATATGTTAACCAAGTTTATCAGTGGGAGGATTTTAAGATTTAATTTTTTTAATCTTAATTTCGTCCAGGAATATCATTTAATGAAAAAGGATAATAGAATATTTACCACTTTTTGGGCTCTTGTCACATTTAGTCAGCCACTTGGATGCCGAATGGAAATAATTCAACATATACTTTTGGCAAAGATTGATTAGACATACCTCCCAATTATATGCTAGTTTTACATCGCAATTTTAAATAAAAATATATTTTTAATAGTGATTTTTAAAGAATGTGTGGTTAAAAAAAAAAAAAAAAATCAATTTACGTATAATATTATTTTATTGAAAATATGTGATTGAAAATTAATTTTTTTTTAATGGGACTCAAAAAATCGCATCATTTATGGATGTGATAATGTGTCCCGTATATAGTAGGGCGACGACAAATAATTAGTTGACTCGTAAATTTTATCAATTATACTACGGGAAGACTGCTCCTTACGACACGGACAAAAATCTCAAAAGCTCTTAATTCTCATTCATACCCAACAAATTATGTCCATTAATTATAGAAACTCCTGTACATGTAGAAAGTTGTTTCCTGTAGAACTGAATAGTAATTTTGGAACTTTTATTCCAATTTAGGATAGACTATTATGTGTATTATCATTTAACTTTTCAAGTGTATATAATGTATTTTTTTATGGCATAAAATAAATAATCAATTTTTTAAAGATATTTATATAATGTGTTTGGTAACGTGCGAGAAAATTTGATATACAGACATTGATCTCCGTAATGTGATAGATCAATAGGTCAACAAAGTTATTAAAAACATGTCTTTCATATGAGCACACTATATATATTGATTATAAATTCGCGAATTTTGGGCACCAATATGACAGTTCTTGTACCCTGACTTGCTGAGCCACATCCCTCGATTTACCTCCTGCACAATGCTCTGGGGGGAGGGGTGGGGGAACCTCAAGGTTGGGGTTCAACCTTTTATAAATTCACGAACTTTTATGATAGTTAATACTCGAGAGTGCCAATACTAAGTTAATTACTATTTATTCATATTTGTTTTGTTTGTCTTAATTATCGCAACTCTTTCTTAGATATTTAAAGCATACTTTATTTTAGTATATTATTATCAATAAATAGATTAAATTGGACTAGAAATATATTCTCATTCATATAAAAACTTATGAATTAATAGGATGTTGTTCTCTTAACAAGGAAAGGATATGGCAAAGTTGAAGTAACATGGAGAGCCCACTTCACATGAATTCACGTGTTAGAGTTAATTAATTAATCTTAAGAATTTAATAATGGATGATTAGCAACTTGGTTGAAGCATTCCAATGCTAAAAGTCCAGTATGAGGGGCCTTATTAGATTCAATAATTACTAATTCCTATTGATTTAACCTTCTAATAAAACAAATTGATTCTCCCTTTTGTTCCTATTTGCCTTCCCAAATTTTGCCACTGCCACTTGCATAATTTATGCAGCCTACACTAAAGACATACGTGATACTATCAACAGCTTAATTTAAATAAACAAATTAATTTTCAACCGTATAAACTTTTAATAGTTATTTTTCAAAGTCATAAGTTTAAAGATAAATCTACTTTACTAGGATGATTTGATAGAAAGCTTAACATAATTGCATGTGACGTTAAATGATTAGATGCAAAAATTGATTGTATTTTAGCCGTCCAATGATAGAATGTCACGTGACGTTATGTTAAGCTTTATGTCAACCTTGATATTTCACGCTGGCAGAATAGCAATTATTCTACAAGCTAGTTCTACCAGCAAATTCAGAAGGAAGAACGTAAGCTTAACGCCGAAAAATACAGAGAAAAGGTCTCTAAAGTTTAAAGAACTTTATTATATCATGCAATGATCAAAATAAGACAACAAGCAGGACTTTATAGCCGCAATCCGAATTTTACCAAACATGGCAAAATATCAAAAATCAAGTACGCCGAAAAATACAGAGATAAGGTCTCTAAAGTTTAAAGAACTTTATTATATCATGCAAAGATCAAAATTAGACCACAAGTCGGACTTTATAGTAAAAATTCGAATTTTACAAAAAATGACAAAATTCCAAAAATCACGCCAAACGAAAATACAGAATAAAATAAGTAGTCTGCGAAAAATTTAGCCCAAATCGGGTTAAAAATCATCTCCTAACATGCAATCGAAATATTACCAAAATAGCAAAATTTAACTAAAAATAATAATTCGGTAGGAAAAACAGCTGAATTTGAGATTGAAAACGGCATACACCGAGCAAAGCTGGAGGTCCACGATGTGCGCACCCAAACAAGCTTTCCGGATTGTGGTCATAATCTCGATTCTAATAATTGTAGCCAAAGTAATGGCCAATTTACCGAAACACAACTCAATTACCAAAGTTACGCGATCAATTGCTATCATTGCACCGATCTGCTAACTTGTGATACTTTAGAGCTATTAACATGTTATCTGACAACTCAACATCTGATTCGGATCATTCTGCATTAATATTCATATAGTTATGGGTCACCAATCCACATCTGAAGATTAATTTTTGTGCCCACTTCAATAATAACATCAACAACAGAAGTCTCACGTTTTATTCCACCTTATTTAACCTTTGTTTGCTTTAGCTAAAAAAATCGATTAAAATATAAGTCAAATCAACAATTAATTTTAATTACACATTTTATTAGATTAACAACTTTTCAAATACATATTTCATCAAAATTTATTAAAAATTTGATTTTTATCTAAATACTTAATGCAATCAGACGCACCGGCGCACTCAGAATAGCCAATGAAAAGTAAATGATGATGAAAGAGAATCCACTAAACATATATTTAATATAACTTGGACTACCCTAACCACGAAATTATTAGTGTGTAGGAAAATATAATATTATTTGCTTGGTGGGGTCGTTTAAAAACAAAACGCCACCTAAATGTTTGGCTTTTCATTGAAAGTCGGAGGTGTCTAGCTTTGTCGTGTAGTACGTGCCGTTTTGTTTAATCCAATAGACACTTGCTTATCGTAATTTAAAATAAGAATAATCATAGCAAAAGTCTCAAATCTTTGAAATATTA